GTACATCCTTAAAAATGTCTCATGTAAATCTCAGTATGTACAAGATTTAAATCTTTATTTATCTTTCTCTCCAGCTTCCTACCTCTAGTCTTTAAATCCCACTGTGGCACCACAATCTGCGGTTATGCAAAACCAGTAACAATTATTTGAGTCTCCTTTTCTCATCTTCACACTTGATATCAGTTTCACCTTCTTAATAATTAACATCAATCACTTTTATAGCCTTGCTAAAGCGTTACTTGAGGTAAGTAAGAAATTCATGTTTTCTCACATGAACTGTGAAGTGGGTCTCATGACTGATTTTCCAGTCTTTCCCATTCCAAAATCTTCTGTTTTGAGAATTGTCTTAGTTCAGTATACTTCTTTGAACTTTTATTTATTTTGAAATAAAGATTCAAAGGTCATTACAAAATACAATACAGAGAGTTCTATAAATTTCAGTTTGTGGTAGTACATGATTTTTATTCATTGCCAGATCCATTTCGCTAATATTTTGTTGAGAGTTTTTTGTATTTAAGTTCATGAGACATCTCAGTATGTAGTTTTCTTTTTTGTACTGTCTGTCTAGATTTGGTATCAGAGTGACACTGGCCTCATAAAAGTAGTTGGGAAGTGTTCCCTGCTCTTCTGTTTTGTGGATGAGATTGTGTAAAAATGAGCCTATCTTTTTAAATATTTAGTAAAATTCTTTAGTTAAAACTATCCGAGCCTGGAGCTTTTCCAGCAGCCTTTAAGTTTTTAATTTAATGGTAATTGGGTTATCAGCTTATCTACTTCATAGGAGTTGCATTGTGGTAATCTGGTTTTTGAGGTCACTTCCATTTCTTACAAGTTGTTGATCTATTAGCATAGAGTTTTTGTATTCCTTCATTTTCCTTTTAATGGCAGTTGGATATGTAATGATATCTTCTATTTCATTCCTGACCTTGGTGATTTGTATCTTCGTTTTATCTTTGTTAGTCTGGTTGAATAATCAGTCAGTAAAGTTTATCAATTTTGTTGATTTTTTTTCAAATAATTGGATTGTGTTTTATTGACTTTTCTCTAGTTTTCTTTAATTTTGTTTTCAATTTCATTGATACCTTTTCCTTATTATTTTCTTCCTTCTGCTTCCTTTGGGTTTATTGTGCTCTTTCTAGGTTCCTGAGGTCAGAATTTAAATTATTGACTAGAGAACAATTGATATAATTGACATATAACATTACATTAGTTTCAGGTGTACAACATGATTCGATACTTGCATATGTTGTGGAAAGATTACCATAATAAGTCTAAGTTAACATCCATCACCACACAGTTACAAATTATTTTTTCTTGTGATGAAAACTTTCAGGATTCATTCTCTTAGCAACTTTCAAATATCCAATACAGTATTAGTAACTGTAGTCACTATGTTGTAATTATATCCCCATGACTTATTTAAAATAAATTATAAAATACATTATAAATTATAAAGTATAACTTAAGTTTATACATTCTGATTACCTTCACCCATTTTGCCAACCATCCACCCCTGCCCTTGGTAACCACCTATCTGTTCTCTGTATCTATGACTTGTTTTTTTTAGATTCCACATATAGGTGAGGTCATAGGGTATTTGTCCTTCTCTATATGACTTCTTTCACTTAGCTTAAGGCCCTCAAGGTCCATCTATGCTGTCACAAGTAGCAATATTTCTTTCTGAATAATATTCCATTTTACACACACACACACACACACACACACACACACACACACACACACACACACCACACACACACACACACACACACACATTTTTTTATCATTCATCCATCAGTGCACACAAGTTGCTTTTATGTCCTGGCTAATGCTTCAGTGAACATGGGGATGTAAATATCTTTAAGAGTTAGTGCTTTCATTTCCTTTGGCTAGATACCCAGAAGTGGAATTGCTAGATCATGTGGTAGTTATATTTTTAATTTTTTGAGGAGCCTCCATACTCTTCCATAGTTGTTGTACCAATTTGCATTCTCACCAACATTGCACAAGTGTTCCCTTTTCTCTAGATCTTCACCAACATTTGTTATTTCTTGTCTTTTGCTTTAGCCATTTTAATGGGTGTGAGGTGATATCTCACTGGTTTGATTTGCATTTTCCTCATGACTAGTGATGTGGAGCATCTTTTCATGTGCCTGTTGCCTATCTCTGTATCTCTGGTAAAATGTTCATATCCTCTGCCCATTTTTTATGTGGATCATTTGTTTTCCCTTTCCTATTGTAAGCATTTAGTGCTATAAATTTCCCTCTCAGTATTGCTTTATCTGTATCCCCCAGATTTTGATATATTTTCACTTTAAGTTTCCACATATTTTCTAAATTTCTTTTGAGAATTTGTCTGACTTACATGTTATTTAGAACTGTTTAATTTCCAAATATTTTGTGACTTTCCAGACAGCTTTTTTTATTATTTTCTAGTATAATTCCTTTAGAGATTTTCTGTTTTCTTTCTGTTACTGATTTTTAGTTTGGTTCCATTATGGTCAGAGAACATACTGTATATTATTTCAATTCTTTTAAATTTGTTGAGGTTTGTTTTACAGCTTAGGATATGGTTTGTCTTGGTCATCGTTCAATGGGTGCTTGAAAAGAATGTATATCTGCTATTATTGGTTGGAGTGTTCTATAAATATTAATTAGATACTTTTGTTTCTTCTTCTGTATCAACTGATAATTTTCTGTCTACTATTTCTATAAATTGCTAAGTCTGGGGTATGAAGTCCCTATAATCCTTTTTTTTAAGTGTTTGTGATTCCAGGTAGAAAGAGCTAATCCTTCAATTATGCATTCCCAGATTAGATTTTTTTTAATATAGAGGTTTATGTTTTTTAAAAAACATTTTATGAAAAAAAATGTAAATGTATACAAAGTAAAGATTAGAATAGTTTAAGGAGTCCTTGTATCTATTGTACCTATCACCAGCTTTAGTAGTCATCAACATTTTGCCACTGTTATTTCATCTAAAACTGCCCTCCCTGCCAGCTCCTGGATTGTTTTAAAGTAAATCCTATATCTTATCTGTAAATACTTTGATATGTATCTCTAAAAAATGAGAATTCATTTTTCCTTTTTGTTTCACATACTCAGTAAGCCAGTGTCACATCTAAAACATAATAATAGTAATTCCTAGATACCATCTAATACCCAGTTATTGTTTGAATTTCTCCAAATATGCCATAAATATCTTTTTGATGTTGGTATGTTTTAATCAAGAGGCAAACAAGGTTCACAGTTAGCATTTGGTTAGTATGGCTCTTAAGTCTCTTTTAATAATGAGTCTTTAAAAAAAAAAGAAAAAACATTTTTCTATTTTAATTTATTCTTTGAAGAAACAAGTCATTTGCTGCCTTCTGGATTTAGCTAATGTTTCAGTCTTAATATTGTTCAGTACATGTCTGTACTGGAACATATTATGTATGAGTTTGTTAGACCTGGAGGCTTAATGAGATTCAGTCAGCTTTTTCTTTTTGTGGCTAAGAAAGCTTAATGGATGGTATAATAAAATTACTTACTCTATTATGTCAGGAAGCACACAACTGGTTATCCCTTTTTGTAACATTAAAATTGATTGGTGGATGTAAATGTTTAGCTGATCCATCCATTTTAAACATATCTTCAGCTTTAAACCTGAGACAGTGAACAGCCATTAATGATCATTTTCTAAATCCATTATTTCAATAGAAGTTACAAAATGATATTTTAATTCTGCCCTAACCTCTTCACTTATTAGCCAGAATTATTCTATAAGGAGATTTTTCTCATCATTTATTTGGTTATCCTGCAGTACAGATCTCTCAGGGAAAAAAAATTAACAAATCTGATTACCTTAATTACCTTTAAAGTAAAAAATCCTTACTTGTTATGTGATCAAACCGTTGTTTTCATAACCACCTTCCTGACATGTCATGTGGACTCTTGTCCATTTATATAGAGTTATTTGCTGCTCCTCAAACTCATCATGTATTTTTCTGTCTCCACACCTTTATTTTTTCTCTTTTCTAGGAAATTACCCCCCTCACCCCTCATTCTATATTAACTCATCTTCCAACTTACATTCCTCAACTAATAGAAGCTTACTCTCCCATGAAAAATGTATTGTTTCCTTGTTTGGACCTTCAGTGTGTTCCACAGAGATTTACGTTTGACACCTTAGTGAACTTGGATCTTATTTTTCTCTTCTTTTAAAGGTTAGGTCTTGCTTATTGTAAGTTGCTGGAAGTCTTAAGTTGCTAGAATTTTTTTAAGTCTTTTAAGTTGCTAGAATAGAAAAATAAATCATTTCTGTGTTCCCAGGACTAGCATATGGCTAGTCCTAAATTGCTCAAAAACTGAATTGTTGGTGGTTCATCTAGTTGCTAGAAGGCTAAATGATTGCCAATTTCAATCTCCAGTTTTGAAAAATGAGTAATTGACTACAGCTCTATAGAGATAGCAGAAATTATTTGTTGGATTTTTTTCTTCCACAAAATATTACATAAAATTAGATATTTAATATGTACCTTATATGAAATAATCATTTTTTTAAAGTTCCTGAATTATATAGGTATATGCATTTGTCAAAACTTCAAGTGATACATTGAGGATTTGTACGTTTCATTGTGTGTAAATTTTACCTTAAGGTAAACAAATATTATACTCCAGTTAACTTATATTTTGAAATGTTTAGGAGGAAGTATACTGGCATCTATAATTTAAAATGCCCAGAAAGTAAGATGGATTGCTGGATTGGTAAAAGGATGGGTAAATGGGTGAAAAACAAGTAGAGTAAAATGTTAATGGTAAATCCTAAGTGATGGATATACATGTTTTCACTATATAATTCTTTTAATTTTCTGTATGTTTGAAAATTTTCACAAAAAATATTAGGGAAATAGGGAGTCAAGTTTTTAAAAAGAGGTAAATTAACAACAAAAAAACTCCACATTGCATATTTTTAAGTATAGTGTCTCCATCCCCCAAAGCTAACTATTCACATTGAACAGGAATGTGCCGTTACAGGGATCTGTGTCCTTCAGGGATGTGGCTGTCGATTTCAGCAAAGAGGAGTGGCAGCAGTTAGACTTTGCTCAGAGAAACCTGTACCGGGATGTGATGCTGGAGACTTACAGCCACCTGCTCTCAGTAGGTAAGCACAGTCACCTGGGTTCCCACTGGCGGTATTTTCATTCTCAGTTGCTTTGAGACATCTGAAATATGTGATGGGTTTTGTCTTTGATTTGCCAGGATTCTTTATCCCTTTTGGGCATTCTGTATTACTCTGCTCCCAGAAATGTATGGTTACTTTCCTGAAGAATAAAGCTGCATTGAGCAAGACTTTATTGATTGGGCTCTGAAACACAATTATCTGGACCCCATCCTTTATCATTTCTCATGAACAGGGTATCAAGTTCCTGAGCCAGAGGTTTTCATGTTGGAGCAGGGAAAGGAGCCATGGGCATTGCATGGTGAGAGCCCACATCAGAGCTGTCCAGGTGAGTGAGTGTGACCCCGAAGGAGACAGGGGAGTAAATCCCAGCTGTATTGAGAAAGAGTAACATCTTTGAAATGCTATTAAGATGATTCTTCAGGCAGGCTTTCAGGGTTTTTTTATTGCTTGATGAAGATCTTGACATTGGTGTCTCCACTAAATACCTTCTGCTTATTTCTGTCATTTCTTCACTCTCTTCTCCCTTAGATTCGTAGAGTCTGGATCTTGTGCCAGTCTGCTTCATTAAAGATTTTCTTTCTTTCTTGGTTATGCTCTTTTCTAACATTTCTTTTTCTTTCTACCTTCCCCATTGTCTGAGATTCATTCTTTATGCATTTAGGCGTTCATGGATCTGCTTTTTTTCCACAGTTACTATATGTCATACATTCCCACTAATGCTAGTCCTTTCATTTTTTTCTTTCTCACTGTGAGATACTACAGAACTTTATCTCCAGCCAACCTATCTTCCTGTATTCCCTATAGGCACTGATACAAGATTTGTCACTTCCCCATTCCCTATGCCTTTCATCCAACTGATGACCTAAGGGGTCACTGTCACCTAACTTTTAGGAGTACCTTTCTAACATTTTCCTCCAATATTGCTTGAGTGACTTCACACTGATTGGGGTCCCTCTGCCTGATTGGCTGATTTTTGTAATTGCTTTATTTCTGTATTTTGCATGATGATGTTTGAGTTTAATCATTGTCTTCTTTCAGGATACACTATCATCATCCATCTGGGTAAGGATTCTCTATTAAGGGAATTAGTCTTCCCTTGTTCACAGTTTCACTTTCTGCAGTTTCAGTTACCCATGTTCAGCTGAAGTCCAAAAAGTACTAAATAGAAAATTCCAAAAATAAACAATTTTTAAGGTTTAAATTTTGCGCCATCCCACACCATCCCTTTCAGGATGTGAATCATCCCTTTGTCCCATGTATCCATGCTGTATACACTATCTGCCTGTTTAGTCACTTAGTAGCCATCTCAGTTATCAAATCAACTGTCATGGATTATAGTTCAAATAACCCTTATTTTACTTAGTAATGCCCCCAAAATACAAGAGTAGTGATGTCTGACAATTCAGATATGCCAAGGAGAAGCTATAAAGTGCTTTCTTTAAGTGGAAAGGTGAAAGTTTTTGACTTGTTAAGGAAAGAAAAAGCAATACCAGATTCAGTACTACCTGTGGATTAAAGCACTCACTGGGGATCTTAGAATGTATTCCCTGTGCATAAAGGGACTTGTATATTTTATTTTTCAATTTATTCTCTTCCCTTTTATTTTCCCAGACTCATCTTACTTCCCATAGGCAATTGTTTTATATAATGGAAACATATTTCTTAATTTATGCATATTTCTTTAAAATTTAAAGTGACCTTGGGTATGTATAATTAGTCTATATAAATGTTACTCTGCTATGTATGTTGGTCTTTGCCTTACTTTTTCCACTTCTATCCATTGTTGCAATGTGTACATAAAGTTTATTTCTTCTAACTGCTGAATTGTTTCCCATTACCACTATCACTAGACTCCTCATCACATGAGCCACCTTCTCCCTTTTCTATGTGTGCTTACTAAATGAGCCATATGACTCTCCTCTCTAGCTCATTCTTTGAGGAGAGTTTGGGTTTCAAAGCTCATGCAGAGAATTTCTGAAAATGCTGCTTTCTATGTTGAGAGGACAGGTGACGCTACAAGTGATATTTTGTTGTATTTTATTCTAGAAGAATTGTGGCAGACTGATGACCAAATAGACAGCTATCAGCAGAGAGAAAACAAATCTTTAAGAGATGTTGCTTTCATTAAGAAAATACTGACTACAAAGAGGGATTATGAATACAAAGACATTAGAAAAATAATTCATGTGAGCCAAAACATTCCTTCCCCAAAAAGACCCCATCAATGTGACTCTTTTGGAAATGCGTTGAAGCATAATTTAGACTTACATAGTCATAATAAAAACAATGCATCAAAGAACATTAATAATATTACTGAATATGATAAAATTTCTTCCTATATTGAACAAGAGTATACTCCAGAGAAATTATGGGACCATAATCATGTAAAAATCCTGAGCTATAAACAAATACCTTCTCAACATCAGAAAATTCATACTGGGGAGAAATCTTATGAATGTGCTGAGTTTGTAAAGATCTTCACCCAGCAGTCACAACTCAAGGTCCATCTTGGAGTTCATACAGGAGAAGAACTGTATGTGTGTGTTGACTGTGGGAAGGCATTTGTAAAGAAGCCAGAATTCATTACACATCAGAGAACCCATACTAGAGAGAAGCCCTACAACTGCAGTGAATGTGGAAAAGCCTTTTTCCGAGTATCTTCTCTCTTAAGGCATCAGAGAATTCATACTGGAGAAAAACCCTATGAATGCAATGAATGTGGGAAAGGCTTCTCTTATAACTCAGATCTTAGTATACATCAGAAAATTCATACTGGAGAGAGACACCATGAATGCAGTGATTGTGGCAAAGCATTCACCCAAAAGTCCACCCTGAAGATGCATCAGAAAATTCATACAGGTGAGAGATCCTATATATGTATTGAATGTGGACAGGCATTCATTCAGAAGACACACTTGATTACACACCGAAGAATTCATACTAGAGAAAAACCATATGAATGCAGTAACTGTGGGAAGTCCTTCATTTACAAGTCACAACTCCAGGTACATCAAAGGATTCACACAAGAATGAAACCTTTTATATATACTGAATATGGGAAGGCCTTCAACAATAATTCCAATCTCACTACCCATAAGAAAGTTCAGATTAGAGATAAATCTTCCATATGCACTGAATGTGGTAAGGCCTTTACATACAGGTCAGAGTTGATTATACATCAGAGAACTCACACTGGAGAAAAACCTTATGAATGCAGTGATTGTGGAAAAGCCTTCTCTCAGAAGTCGGCACTCACAGTGCATCAGAGAATTCATACAGGAGAAAAATCATATATATGCGTGAAATGTGGGCTAGCCTTCATCCAGAAGGCACACTTGATTGCACATCAAATAATTCATACAAGAGAGAAACCTTACAAATGTGGTCACTGTGGGAAATCCTTTACTTCCAAGTCACAACTCCATGTGCATAAGCGAATTCACACAGGAGAGAAACCCTATATGTGTGCTAAATGTGGGAAGGCATTCACCAACAGGTCAAATCTCATTACACATCAGAAAACTCATACAGGAGAGAAATCTTATGTGTGTCCTAAATGTGGGAAGGCCTTCACACAAAGGTCAGACTTGATTACACATCAGAGAATTCATACTGGAGAGAAGCCTTATGAATGCAGTACCTGTGGAAAAGCCTTCACCCAGAAGTCACACCTCAATACACACCAGAAAATTCACACTGGAGAGAGACAGTATGAATGCCATGAATGTGGAAAAGCTTTCAACCAGAAATCAATACTAATTGTGCATCAGAAAATTCATACAGGAGAAAAACCCTATGTATGCACTGAGTGTGGAAGAGCCTTCATTCGGAAGTCAACCTTCATTACTCATCAGAGAATTCATACTGGAGAGAAACCTTATGAATGCTGTGACTGTGGGAAATCCTTCACTTCTAAATCTCAGCTCATGGTGCATCAACCAGTCCACACAGGAGAAAAGCCGTATGTGTGTGCTGTATGTGGGAAAGCATTTAGTGGCACGTCAAATCTCAGTAAACACAAGAAAACTCATACTGGAGAAAAGCCCTATATCTGTTCTGAATGTGGGAAGACCTTCAGACAGAAGTCAAAGTTGACTATACATCATAGAATTCATACTGGAGAGAAACCTTATGAATGCAGTCACTGTGGAAAATCTTTCACTAAGAAATCACAGCTGCAAGTACATCAGCGAATTCATACAGGAGAGAAGCCTTATGTGTGTGCTGAGTGTGGGAAGGCCTTTACTGACAGATCAAATCTGAATAAACACCAGACAACGCACACTGGAGACAAACCCTATAAGTGTGTAGTCTGTGGGAAAGGCTTTGTGCAGAAATCAGTGCTCAATGTTCATCAGAGTATACACACTTGAGAGAAATAGTATAAGAAAATTTTAGTGAGATCTAGTCTGATTGTACATTAGTGAATTCACGTGGCAGAAAAATATTCATGAGTAGAAATGCTCCATCAAAATGTCACTCATTACAGAAGAGGACCTCTGAGAGGGCCCTGAACAAGGGGGGCCCTTCCCATATTGTCACCAGTCTCATTAAGCCTTGGGTCATCCTTACTGAGAAGGAACTTTGCCAATTTGATACATTAGAATGCCTCATGAAAAATAAAATGGAAAGTGTAACACCAAATCCTGCGTAGAAAATACTATGTTCAGTCGTGCTAATGGTAATCCTGTTTACTGTGGAATAGGTAAAGTGCCAACAAAGTTAAATGGTAGGACAACATAATAGGTATATGTGATAGTAACAAAGTCTAAGTTCTGTGAGATGCTTGTTGCAGAACATACTAACAGAGTTTTGGGCCTTTTTTTGTTCTTCTGTTGAATTAACATGGTTGTGCATATCCAGACCCCCATTAAGTATTTCTGTCAAGAGAGAGACCCACAGTAAGAAAAATTCTTTATGTATGAGACCCATAATTGCATTATGACTGCCTTTTGGAGCTCAACAGCATGTCTGCTGACTGCCATTTTGTCCTGCGTAGTATTTACTGACCTTCAAAGAGGCCCCAGCATAGTGTTTTGTGAATTCCCACTTCCCCTCAGAAAAGCTTCGCGGTAAGAATTTTCAGGTCGCCTTGGTCAGCACTTCACTCCAGTCTTCCTTTTGCTATCCCAGTTCTTCCAGCTCACTTGCCTTACTTAATGACTTTACTTTTAAAATAATAACAAATCAGTAACATATTATAATAAATCTCAGCACACATTCATGTTAGATCTGTGTCCACCTTCATGTCATACTCTACAAGCATCTTTTTCCCCAAGTGCCTAAAACCTGAGTTCAGGTCCTGCCTCAGGTCCTTTGCATTTGCAGTGCCCTCTTCAGTGAGCACAGTTCCTCATTATATCTGTGTGGTTAGCTTCTTCATGTCTTACAATGGCACCTTCACAAAGTCCTTCCCTGTGCTACGCTGCCCGGTTTAAAATTTAAACCTGAGTTCAGGTCCTGCCTCAGGTCCTTTGCATTTGCAGTGCCCTCTTCAGTGAGCACAGTTCCTCATTATATCTGTGTGGTTAGCTTCTTCATGTCTTACAATGGCACCTTCACAAAGTCCTTCCCTGTGCTACGCTGCCCGGTTTAAAATTGCAGCCCCCTCACTCTTCCTCCTTTCTCCCTCTCCCTAGCACTTATTGCCATGATGTCCTGTATATTTTACTTGTTTATGGCTTCCACAGTAAAAAGTTGTCTTCTCCTGTTTTGTTCACCACTGTGAGCCTAGAACTGTGCCTGACATACAGTAGGCATTTCATAAATGCACACTGTGCAGTGTTGACTTTACTCATCCCATGACTTCCCTTTGATTCTTTATATTGCAGCATAAGATGCTCCAGAGGGGAGAACTAACTTGGATAAAATACGATAGGTTTTTTCATGTCTAGTTTTTACCTGGGTTGTGCCTCTTTCCTGGCCCTAAAACTGAAATGTAAACCTGTTAGACTGATGCCAGCCCCCTTAAAGAAGGGAAAACTGAGACACAGGAAATCCCACATAGATGCTTGTGTTCCAGAATTTCCTACCATGATTCTGAAATACCCCAGTCAGTTCCAGAGTGATTGTAGAAGAGCTTGCTCACTCTGCCCTGGCATGCACAGCCTTGCCCCACACCAGTTACACAACAGATCCTTGCTCACCCCCATACCTGACCTACAGACCCACTCATCCCTAAAGATGTGCTCAAAGCTAATAGTATAAAGGGGCAAGAGCAGAAAGGGGCAGACTTTCCTCGGAAGCTAGGTGTCCAACCCAACACTGTGCAGCAGTGGCCTCATAAGTTCGGGCACAGGGTCTGATTGAACACTCAGCTGCTGGACAGCCAATGAGGCAGTCATTGGCAACACTGGGAGAGGAAGTAGATGGTTGTGCAGAGATGCTCTCACCTTTATGAACAGCAGCTTGGTGGTGGAGGGTGGGGGCAGAACCTGGCTGGGGGTGCAGGGCTAGGGATTCCTTTTTAACCTCACCCAAGTCCCCATTGCCATACCTTAAATCAGTATCTGACCCATTATTAGCTTCCTTTCATCTCATCCCTTCACAGTGATGATCCATCAGACAACCTTCCCTATCTTAGAAGAGTGTCTGGTGGCCCACTTGTTAGCCCTCTTTACCTCATCCAGCACTGTATCTGGCGCTTCACTCAATATCTTGTGACCTACCATTATTCCCCCATCTTAGGACAATGTTTGCTGACCTCAGGAGAGTGGACATTTCCTCATTACTCCCTTCTTAACCTATCCCAGCACAACCCTCCAGTATTCCCCTGAGACCTACTCAATTACTATGTTCGTCACCTCATTAATTCCAGGAAATAGTGTCTGTAGATCTCATTATCTCTTCCACAATTACCTCCAGCATAATGTCTGTTATTTTCACCTGATTTGTGAGAGTCTGGTGAGCTCTATACTCCCCATTTATTTCTACCTTCACCTAAGTAGTGACTCATGACCACTTATTATAGTCCTCAGACAAGGGAATTGTATACCCCACCTAATCCAGGGTAATATTATGTCCTGATACTTTCATTACACTTCTAGCAGGATGGCTTGTGAACACCCTCCATTGCTTTCCCATCACACTGATGGTGACTGATTATCCCCATTATCCCACCTAGCAATGTCTTTAACCAGCATGTGGTGATCTCCTTAACATCTTCTCTGAATACTGCTGAGCGCCATTAACTTGCATTCCTTCCCCAGATAAAGGCAGTGACTGATGTCGGACCATAAACTCTACCCCACCTGTATTTTGGAGAATCCACTATCCTTTCTGTAGAATCCCCATGAATAACCAGAACAGTCTGTTGATACCTATTAGTAGCAGTATCAGTGACCCCTCCATTAAGTCCTGGTAGTATCGGCTGTTGCCCTATTAGTCCCTATTAACACATTGCTGATTCCCCATTGCCCACATTGCTTCATGAGATCCCTCAGTGTGGCTACTACAAGTTCCCCAGTGTTGTTTTGCCATATCTACACTGTTTTCATGGACAGGAGCCCTAGAGGATGGAAAGGGATGAAGATGAGGTCCTAGCTTAATAGATCCCTCTGTGAATTACTGGCCTGGAGTGGGCTGGGGAGTATCTGGGTGCCCATAGATCATAAGCTGAGCTTCCCATGAAGCAACTAGAATCCTGAAAACAATGCATTCAAATCCTGCTGCCAGCACTGACCTGCTGGGGGACTCTGGGTCAGCCCAGCAACCTCCCCTGTGGGTCTCAGTCACCTCACCTGTAAAATGGAATTATGGAGGATGAAGTGATGTAATATGGGTCAGGGTTTAACAAGGGAGCAGGGCTCGTGAGGACCAATTTGGGCGTCCTGTTAATAATATTACTAGTCTTAAGTTGACACAAGCATCTGACCAACCTCTGTGTGGCTGTGCCCAAAACTCACAGATGGAAACGTTTTATTGAAAATTACGTTGACTTTGTGATTATTATTATAGTACTGGTATATTTTTAGATTTGTTGAGGTAATGTTTACTTCAGGTAATATTCATTCTTTTTAGTGTACACAGTTCTGAGAGTTTTGACAAATGCATACAATTATGTATTTGACAGAGAACAGTTCTTTGCTCCCCCAAATTCCCTCCTGTCCCTTTCTAGGCAGTTTCACTCCCAGCCCCTTGCAGTCACTAATCTGATCTGTTTCTTGACTCTTGTTTTGCCTTTTCCACAATATCATATAAATGGGTGCTTATCTATAGATAAGTATGTTATTTATCTGCTTTGGAATCTGACTCTTCATTTGTGCCAATGAGGCAGTCATTGGCAACACTGGGAGAGGAAGTAGATGGTTGTGCAGAGATGCTCTCACCTTTATGAACAGCAGCTTGGTGGTGGAGGGTGGGGGCAGAACCTGGCTGGGGTGCAGGGCTAGGGATTCCTTTTTAACCTCACCCAAGTCCCCATTGCCATACCTTAAATCAGTATCTGACCCATTATTAGCTTCCTTTCATCTCATCCCTTCACAGTATCTGATGATCCATCAGACAACCTACCCTATCTTAGAACAATTACTGGTTGCCCACTGTTAGCCCCCTTTACCTCATCCAGAACTGTATCTGGCGCTTCACTCAATATCTTGTGATCTACTATTATTCCATCTTAGGACAATGTTTGCTGACCTCAGGAGAGTGGACATTTCCTTATTACTCCCTTCTTAACCTATCCCAGCACAACCCTCCAGTATTCCCCTTACACCTACTCAATTACTATGTTCGTCACCTCATTAATTCCAGGAAATAGTGTCTGGAGATCTCATTATCTCTTCCTCAATTACCTCCAGCATAATGTCTGTTATTTTCACCTGATTTGTGAGAGTCTGGTGACCTCTATACTCCCCATTTATTTCTACCTTCACCTAAGTAGTGACTCATGATCACTTATTATAGTCCTCAGACAAGGGAATTGTATACCCCACCTAAGCCAGGTTAATACTATGTCCTGATACTTTCATTACACTTCTAGCAGGATGGCTTGTGAACACCCTCCATTGCTTTCCCATCACACTGATGGTGACTGATTATCCCCATTATCCCACCTTGCAGTGTCTTTAACCAGCATGTGGTGATCTCCTTAACATCAAAATTTTGGAGAATCCACTATCCTCCTTTCTTTAGAATCCCCATGAATAACCAGAACAGTCTGTTGATACCTATTAGTAGCAGTATCAGTGACCCCTCCATTAAGTCCTGGTAGTATTGGCTGTTGCCCTATTAGTCCCTATTAACACATTGCTGATTCCCCATTGCCCACATTGCTTCATGAGATCCCTCAGTGTGGCTACTACAAGTTCCCCAGTGTTGTTTTGCCATATCTTCACTGTTTTCATGGACAGGAGCCCTAGAGGATGGAAAGGGATGAAGATGAGGTCCTAGCTTAATAGACCCCTCTGAATTACTGGCCTGGAGTGGGCTGGGGAGTATCTGGGTGCCCAGAGATCATAAGCTGAGCTTCCCATGAAGCAACTAGAATCCTGAAAACAATGCATTCAAATCCTGCTGCCAGCACTGACCTGCTGGGGGACTCTGGGTCAGCCCAACAACCTCCCCTGTGGGTCTCAGTCACCTCACCTATAAAATGGAATTATGGAGGATGAAGTGATGTAATATGGGTCAGGGTTTAACA